GGAATGAGGTGAACCTAGGAAGTTTTGGAAAAATGGGGCGTGAGTAAATATTATTAATTCCATTTGAGGACTGTATGTGTGACTAATCATTTCTTAGCCTTATACCTAGATCAAGTACCCTAGTGGTCCATAGATAAAAACAGTTCACAAAAATTTGCATTAATATGTATATGTACTTTTCTAGAGAGAGAGTTCATAGCTATTTCTAGATCCTCAGAAGGAACTGTGAGCTCCCATATGTTTAAGGAACTCTACCATAATAAATAGAGAAAGATTTTGAAAAGGTGGTAAGATCTAAAAATTAAAAATAAAATGTACTTTAGAAAAATTATGAAAGTGCAAATTATGGCATTGTTTCTGCACTTATATGCCACAACTACCTGCTCTTGTTTCAAATTCACATTCATGGGCCCCATCCAGACCCAGTGAATCAGTCTCTGTATTTTTGCAGGTGATTCTTATCAAGGCTGAGGTTTAAAAACCATAGAATTATTGGATGGATTAAAGGAGGGAAAGACTAGAGTTAAAAAAACTAGATGATGATTACAATAGACAACATGAAGCAATTTGAGCAATCTTATCATCTGAATGTGTTATTTATATAACTGTTGGCAAGTAGGCTATTTACAAGTTTCAGAGCAATTTTATTTGAAGGATTCAAGTCTTTTTTTTTTTTCCCCCACCACATATTAGTTAAAGACTCTACAGAAAACACTGCTTGGGGCTTGAATGTCAAACTTCTCTAGCTGCAAGTTCCAGACAGAACTGTATATGCTCTTAGAAGAGAAAGAGTTTTGGGTAAGTCAGTGTATTTTGTTCTGTTCACATTTAGATGAGAAGCAACAAAAATTAAATTAAGTAGTTAAAGTTGCCTAACATAAAGTTATTGTTTTTTAAATCTTGCTCTGATAATGCATATATATGAGTTTCAAAAGGGTAAACAGGAGATATATATATGTGTGTGTGTGTATATACATATACATACACATATACACACATATATCCTATGCATATACAAATATATAAGAATTCTTCATTTGAGTAGTGTGTAGAAAAGAGTTAATATCATAGGCCTCAGAGTGCCACTCTTTGAAAGGCCTGCTTGCAAGGTTCGCCCTTAGCTGGTCTTTGGGAACTTGGATTTCAGCTGGTTCCTACCATTTCCTGGTCTCTGATGAGTTTCCATGGTAGCCAACTTCACATGCATTGCAACGATTTGATGCTGGAGTACTTAAGCATATCCTATGTTATTCTATGGGGAAAGAACTTTTGGAAGCTTGTGCTAGGTTTCCTCCAGACCGCTCCATGCACTTTTTCCCTATGCTAATTTTTCTTTGTATCCTTCTGTTGTAATAAATCTTAGCTGTGAGTACAAGTATTTGCTGAGTCCTGTGAGCTCTTCTAGTGAATAACTGGATGCAGGAGAGGTCTAGGGAACCTCCAACGCAGGTAGATATATGTTTTCTTCTGTATTACAGAATAGTCTGATTCTATGGGAATCAGAAAGCTCTTGACTTATTGGTTAAAAGATAACTGGATTCAGTGAAACCATTCATATTAAGAATATACTACTTTATTGGGTTTATTAAACAGTCTCAGCCCTATACCACCATTATTGTGTATCTCATTAATAAATAAAAAAAAAAAAATGTTTTCCCTGACTTTCAACTTGACTATCTGTTCACTCTGGAGAGAAGCTGACTACTGACGAGTGGCTTTGCATATCACTTATAAATTCTCCAACACATTCCACTCTGGACTTGATGTTGTTCTCTGATGCTCAGCAGTTCTAATGGGATTCACCTATCTTTTGGGGGCGGGGAAAGGATTTCTATCTTCTCTCTCCTGTTGTAGATCTCCTATTTCCTGTATCCTTTTTATTTCTCTTTCATTCTTTATTTCTTTGTGTTAGTGAAATACATTCTCTAGTAGTTTCTTAAGGGAGAGTGTACGATAGGTAAACATTTTGAAAGTGTGTGCCTTTCTCGATTGATAATTTGGCAGAATTTTAAGTGGAAATCATATTCTTTTAGAATTTCAAATGCACTACTTCATTGTCTTTGAGCTTCAGGTGTTGCTGTTTAGAAATCTGATGATATTCTGATGCTCCATCTTTGGAACTTTTTTTCTCCTCTGGAAACTTCTGGGATCTACTTTCCGCTGTTTCATTCTGAAAACTCATGTCCTTTAGTCTTGGAAGATTTTTGTTTTTTTTTTAATTGCTTAATTGATTTCTTCCCCTCTAGATTGTTTCCCAATGCTCTTATCTTTCTTTTTGAAGAGTATTTTTGCTCTATTTTCCTCAAATACCCCCTCTTGTCTCAGCTTAGTCTTCTCTTACCCTTCTGGGAACATTACTAGGAATATCTACCTGTGTTGAGGGTTCCCTAGACCTCTCTTGAGTTCAGTAATTCACTAGAAGAGCTCACAGGACTCAGCAAATACTTGTACTCACAGCTAAGATTACAGCAGGATACAAAGAGAAATTAGCAAAGGGAAAAAGCACATGGGGTGGAGTCTGGAGGAAACTGAGCACAATCTCTTAATTCCTGAAGCACTGCTTGCAATCCAGAACCTTTCAAGGAGTATACAGTTTAAATAGGGTTTTCTCAGCT